GAATAATGAGAGTTTTTAATATAAGAGGTATTCTCTTATCCAAATTTTTTTTTATAATTTAATATAATTTAAATTATAAAATAAAATATTCTACAATTTTATACAATAATTTTTAGTGAACTCAATTATTTAGCAGGCATTCCATTACCTATTCTCAAAAATAATATATATATATAGCAGGCATAATCTTTTGGTCTATCAACTTATGTTCCCAGAAGGATCCAGCTATCTTCCCTTTGAAAAATTTACTTTTTTGGTTTGTCAACCACTCCAGCAAAAAATAGTACCTTCCATTAGTGATTACTAGTGTTGCCCATCTCCTTCCGTAATCAGCAAAACAATAGTTAGTCAGTAATGGATAAATCTTGAATCGTAAAGGTTACAATTCGTTGTTGTTAGAAAAGAAAACGTGGTCCTGAAAGCTACACGTATTTCCAACAAAATTATTGGACAAAAGTGTAGTATCTCATGTTGGTACTATATTTGTTTTTAACTTCTTCTTTTTTTTTTAAGATTATATTTGTTTTTAACTAGTGTAACTATGGAATCAAGAGTGTAATGGTTAAATTTTAAAACTTTAGATATTATTACTTTCTTTTTTTTAAAGAGTTGTGGCCAGTGGTTCGCCACGTTGATATATATTTAAACCAGATTATTTTCTGTTTTTGTAAAAACAACGATGGAGGAGCCAACATCTCCTAAAACCCGCCTAGAGCTAAAGGACAGACGCGGAGCTTGCCACTTAATTTCATTGACTGACTTTCGTAGACAATGAAAGAAACAAACAGATAAATGTTTTTGTAATATGTGCCATAGCCAGAGGGAACCACACGGCATCTAGCTAAGCTTGTTAGGAAATAGCTGGCAAAACAGTTTGGATTAAGTGAGTTCAATTTGGATCATTTTAAATTTTAAATTTATTAAATTTGATCTTTTTAAATTTTAAGTTAAAGAGAGTAGATTCATAATTTATTTATATGGATTTTGGATTAAATGGAATGTGTTTAATTTTTTGAAAAATTAAGATTAAAATAAAAAATTTTAATATTTTTCTCATATTTTTTTAAAATT